TTTTTCTGATTTCTCCGAAGAGTATCGTTGTATAAAACAGCCCTGGGGTCAATTTAACGATGAAGTTCACCCGAAAGCACCTATTCACCTATTACCTGACGGCCTCGATATATTAAACGACAGTTCAAACGCTGCGCGTCTATTAGAAAAGTGCTCAAAATTTGCTTCTAAAAAGATACGGGTTCTTATGATCAACTCCCGCGTCGGGTCGTATTTACAACGCTCAGCTTTGCGTCAGACTTACTTTCCTTTTATGGAAAGCATTCATTCGAGCGATTCAAAATGGATTTACTTTTTTGCGACAAATCGTCCCAGTAAAAGAAATGATTTACTGAAAATAAAAGAAGAAAATCGACATTATGGTGATGTCATTATTTTTAACACTTCTGAAGGTTATCAGTTGACTCCGCTAAAAATTCTTTCATCGATGAAATTTGCGTTTTGTTATTGTTCAAACATGGAATACTTTCTTAAAGCTGACGATGACACCTATTTGCGTGTCCAAAAAATTGAATATACACTTTTGAATCTCCAGGCAAAATTGGACGAAACTTTTCCTACTATGAAAAATGAAGAAACAGGCCACGTGCCACTAAACACAGCGGGTAAATGCAACACACAAAAGACGCCTCGACAAGGAAAACACAAGGTAGCCTTTGATGTGATCTCTTCAGAAAGGATGCCTTTCAAATACTGCTGGGGTCAACTGTCAATTTGGGCAAAACCGATTGTTGAAAACTTGATATCGAATTGCGCTCAACATTGTATCGGGTTTTATAAAGGCGAAGCTGGCATCTCGAACTTCTCAAGACCTTGTCTTTGGAGGCCCGAAGATATGTATTTGGGATCTTGTATGCATGCTTCATATCGAGAAAAAGCGGTGATCCAGAGCCTCAAGCAAAACGCTATCATTTTAGCTGACCCGACGAAACCGAAATTGAAAAATAGAGATTTCTTGATCATAGGAGATCGGAATAGTCCGAAGAAGATGAACGATGTCCATCAATTTTATCTTCGTTTGACAAACAAGCACGTGAGCGCAAATCATTCCTCTAACATAGCGAAAACTGTTGTAAGCTGAAGATTATGCAAAAATTTTGACATACCATACAGCCAGTGGATATTCGATTCTTTCCTCCGATGAAAATTGTGATTTCATTTTGGTAAAATGAAAATAAACTCAAGCTTTAAGCAAATTGTTTTATACTTTTTTTTCCAAATACAAGAGCATTTTTTAGGTTTCAGTGCAGTTTTGCTTTCAAATTGTATATAATTATATATGAAAAATTTAGATAAAATTGATTTCAAGTAAACTGGGTTTAAAGGGTTTCAACTCATGCTTTCTTTCAAGAATCTCAGTTGCAATATTTTGAGGCTTTATTTAAGCATATAACTCCAGAAGTCTTACATCATTAAATAGTTGTAACAGTTCAAAAAATGGTGTCTGAATTATTCCTTTGGGGTTCAAATTACTTCAAGTAAATTGTGCATTGATTAAACTTAATTGACAGCTTTAGATAAATTTAAAAAGGTACAAAAATTTCTTCAGAGACTATCTGTTTTTGAATCATTCGAAAGAATCATAGTTAGCAGGAAAAAATTTTCGGAAAATGGAGGATTAAACATGTCTGTCTAACACGTATTTTAGGTTCAGATGTAGCCCTAGAAACGTTTGTGGGAAGCATTCATGCAGGCAAAGCTGGCAAAGCTGGCGTCCGCCCCTGCCCTGGATGGACCCAGGTGACAGTGTGGAGACGATTTGCTAACCTTTTCAGAAAGTCAGCCAGTTTACTATCAACTGTTTTTCAAATTTAATCCAAATATTTTGGAAGAGGATTTTTGCGTGAATATATACTAACCCTGAACTGAGATAGTGAATCAATTACCCTGAATCATAGGCGGGATTTTCTCGAGGGGGGGGCGGATTTTCAAGAAATTTTCAAAATTATGTCGACATTTTTTTTAGGTCGACCAAATTGATTTTCCGAGTTCTCCCAAAAAGACCCTGTTTCGGCCAAATTTTCTGCGCCGCAAAATGGATATCTCAAAATAGTACAAAGGAAGACGCTTTGGGCTGGCAGGGGTGTCGAATCCCTCAGGGGGGGGGGGGGCGTCCGCCCCTGCCCTGAATAATAAATCAATAATAAAAAGAAGCAAGCTCTCGAGGTACAAATTGAAACATAAGTCGATTACTTTGACCCGGAAAAATTCCAGAAAACTATAGGCTGAAACAACCAAATTTGTTTGCATTCTACTAATTATCTGCCATGTCAAAGATTATGTCAAACTTGCAACTTGAACCAAAAAGATAAATAAAGTTGAATGAAGGTGGCTTAATGACCTAAGAATCCTAATGAATTTTTTGTCTTGTTGCGGCTGAAAAACAAATTAAAACCATATGATTTATGTCGAAAAACAAGCACGGGTTTATATTTTTGTCTTTTAAAGAAACAAAATGATTTCTTTTTTATGGTCTTTTTTGCCTTTCTTCCGTAATTATTTGAACTTTTGTTATGATTTGAAGGTTATGAATATACAGTACTGATTTAAATTACCGGACGAAATGTGCGAAAATAAAATTGAGCGAGGCGCTAATGTGTTTCTAAAAAATTCTTTTTGTTCAAAGTTAACGGTTTTTTACATATTAATTAAGACCATTTATCCACGGGGGAAAGTACCAACACAAGAGCTGTACAGCTCATCACGGCGAACCGCTGTTCTGCCCCTGTTTAAGAATTACATGCATTTTTTTTGGTTATTTTTCTGGGCTGAGTAATGTTGCTTCACCCTCAAGCAACGAGCACGGATCATGATGGGCCTCGAACATCCGACCTTTCGATTGAGAGGCGGAGACGAAACCACTTCACCACCGCTCCCCTATTAACGATAATTTAAATGTTCAAAAACCAAAAAAGTCTTGCTACATTTTTATGGGCTTATTTTCGCTGTGTAGATAATCAAGGTTCGGAATTTTTACTTTAAAACTATAGTTACATAGACTATCATAAAAAACTTAAGCCTCTAAATCTACACTTCGGAAATTTTTTTTTTATGACATCCGTTTTTTGTGACATCTCATGGACCGTTTTTTTGTGACATTTTTTTGTGACATCTCATGGAGTTTCGAACAAAAAGTTGAATCAGCTTTATAATTATTATCAATATAATTATTCGATCAATTTTGGTCGAGAAAGAAGCCACTGCCAAATAACCCTAAATTTGGACATCAACGGGGTTAAATTTTCGAGAAAAACCACAATAATTGAAAACGTGGTTTTTCAGAAGAAATCATCTTTGAACTATACCCTAGCGCCTAATTTTACGTGAGAAAACCCCTGAAAATGCGTCATCATTCTAATTAAATGAATTCAACTGCAAAATTAGGGAAAAAAAAGGGTGATGTTATGGGGCTATATAAATTTCCGGGAAAAGCGATATTGTAGTCATCGACGGAAACATAAAGTCTGCCAAGCATTGCATTTTACTTGAAACTCACATGATACAGAATAATTATTTGGACCGTTCGGACCATTTGTTCCAGCAAGACGATGCCAGTTGACATAATTCCAAATTTTCGACAAACTTATTTCTTCTTATTTGTCAAGTTTTTAAAATATTTTCGGCCATTCCGGACGACTAGATTCATCTGTTATATGAAAAATTTCCTCGTAGATCAAATGCAGTTCCTCGTAGATCAAATGCTTTGAATAATTGAATAGCAAACCAAAAATTATATATATTGATTATGTTTAAATTTTATCTGTTTTTATTAGTTATTTAAAAAGATTTATGAAAAAAATTTGAAAAAAGGTAATTTATCCATTAATAGATTTTATAGTTTTTTGTCCCTTTTAAATTAAGTCAGCACTTTAAAAAAAATACAAATTATCAATAAATGCTTAGACTTTTTGGTTGAGCCGTTCAGCAAGAAAGCCGGACTAATATAAGAATGGCCCAAAAGAAAACAAACTAAATCTGATTGGTTCAAAAAATGAATGGATAATTTTACAGAAACTCAAACATTACAAATGTTTTGACGATACTATTTGTTTTTTTTTCACAGGAAAGATGTTCTCGGAAAACATTAAACAGCGGGATAAGAAACAGTCTGGTAACTATGAATTCGGTTAATTAGTTTTTTCTACTCTTAGACCCAGACTGCTCTCAAACATTTTTCTCAAATCACTCTTTTTATTACATAAAAATCAAATAAAAAACATACATGCACGAGAGTATATATAACAGCCGAAGAAGTATAAGGCAACCGAAAATGCGCGGAGTATGCCACATCATTTGAATGATTTGCATTACTTGATTTGAAAAACCACATCATTTGAATGAATTTGCATTACTTTCGAAACCGTTACATATTTGTTACTTAACTAGTATATGACACTTATAAATATTCGGATGATTGATACTTCAACTGATGTAAACTTCGACTGGTTTATATACCACCACCGCTTTAGTTTTTTTCTCTTTTTTTTCCACGCAAACTCAGGTTACACAAAAAATTATCGAAACGGGTCAAGTGATACATCAAATTGAAGCCATTTTAGTCGAGGTTCAAACGACATTACAAAAACCAAAAAAAACTTCATAGTATTGAGAAAAATTGGTGTTTAGTTCGAGCATATAAAGCGAGTAAGCAGGCTTACAACAGCTTCTTTATGCATAATTTAAGCCCTAAAAGCTTATTTTCAGGTATATAAAGTTAGTTTTCACAAAAAAAAAATTTTAAATTTTTTTTCGCCATTTTACTACGAAGAACTTTTGTTCAATTTGACTTTTTTGTTGTGACTGTTAAATATACCTAAATTATAGCTATACGTCAAATTTTTTATCACACCACGCAGAAAAAACTAGGCTATTTTTTTTTTAATTTAGTTATTTAAAGACTATGCTCGGAACTATTCGTGCTAGTTGCACAGTAACAGGCTATCATTTTGAATGTTGCCCAGTGCTTTCTCAATAAAAACATAATAACATGAACGCTAAAATTAAATTCATCTTTTTGAATTACATATGACACCGTGCTTTTTTGGTCTAATTTTTAAGAAAGTGACGGGAAATTTGTGCGCTCGATAGTTTTTGTAGCTAGACCAATAGCGAATTTCCACTAAACCTTTAATTAAAACTTTTTAACTATTAACGCGTAAGCGGAGAATTAATCGCTCAGTACATTACTTCAAAAAAATTACTCCAGGAAAACTAAATGGCAGTCTTATGTTTCATATGTTTTTGATGTACTAGTGTATTCCCCAGATGTTTATGTGAAAAATCTTCCCAACGTTTTGTCAGACGCTGCTTTTTGATCCAACTTTCAAAAAGTGATGGATATTTTTTCACTGGGGTCTTTTTTCAGAGTACATTAATTTCTAATGACCAAACTCAAAAAGATATTTCACCTGTGATTTTTTGTGAATTTATAAGAATTTCAAAAGTTTCAATTTGGCGTAATTTTTGGCCTGTTCTACGCATATAGCAAATGCGGCAAAAAAAATAATTTGGGCACGTTAACTACAGCAAACTATGTGGTAGGAGACGCGAAATACATCACATTGCAATGAACATTGGGCGTGGGGGGTCGAAACAGTGGGCGTGCCTTAATAGATTTTGTCTTGTATAGATTCTTAAGTAATCTTCCAAAAAACGTACTATATATTTTGTTTTGCCAACAAATGTGCACGGCAGTCAATATTTTAGGAAAAGATGGCAAGCTTACCATATTTTTAAAGTTTGTAAAAATTTTGCCGTAAAAAATGGATGCCTTGAGAGAGTCGAGCTGCTGAAAAACAACTCATGCAACCCCCTCCCCCAATTTTCCGCACCCTTAACCCACTACAACCCAAATGATAATAACCTCAAAATCAGGTAGTTTTGATTTTTCTCGTTTGACAGCAACAATTTAAATCACTCGTTAATATCGCAATCTTCCAGCGTCGAAACCCAATCGTTTCTATTTTGGTGACAATCGCTGCAGCAACTCCAGATTTTCCTGGTCCAGATAAGTTTCACCTCCTGTCTGAACTGGACGTTAACCAAAAAATTTATCACAGGCGTCATGATAAACATGAGCAGGTTGATGAAGTCGGAGACCATTGTAAGCATTATCATCAGTCCCGGATCCACGAAGAAGTCTCCGATATGTCGCTCAGCCTTGTAGTATCCAACAGCCTGCACGATTACTTGTGGGTACAGAAACAGAATAGCCAGGAATGTTGACAGTTTGAACATTTTTGATACTAAACCACAAGGAACATTTAAAAATACCACATAAAATCAGATCGTTCTAGGTGCTCATTTCACAAACCGTCAAAACAGCCAAAAGTTCAATGTCCGAATGTACACGGGATACTATTTTTTTGGGCTCCAGAAACTAGACAAGATGAACGCTACAATTTGTTTTCAGAAAACGAAAACATATGTTAAATCATTTACTTTTCCATTTTATTTTCCTACTTTTCAGGAGTGTTTCAAATTAAAATGGAAGTGTGAAAAGAAAATATATGGGGTATTCTCATGATTAAGGGACCGCATGATGGAAAAATTTCAACCAATCTGAATGCTTAGACGTTTCGATTGGTTAATAGTCATTTTCTTTTTATTTTTAAAATCAGTTTTAGGCTTTAATACCCGACTTCAATTTCGCATTATTTGAAATTTCAAGTTTCTGTTTTTGCAAACTGATGAGTGCTTAATTTCAAAATTTTTGGGGCTTCATTGAAACCTTGGATAGTTTATTAGTTTTCATAACTGCTAAATGTTGATCTTTGACGTGTTTGACAGCACACATAAAAAATTCTCAGCACCCATTAAAATGCGAAAAAAATAAAGCCCAAAAAACTGAAATCCCAAATTCAAAACCCAAATATTTTCAGTGCAAGGTTAAACTTAGATTTTAACTGGTTGTTTATAGTTATTAATCAAAAAACTGAACCGAAACCAACCACTCCGACCCCCTAAAATATTTTTGCAAAAAAGTCAAAAATTTGAAGAAAAAAACTGAGTTTCACCCAAGAACGAGTAGTTTTAATGCCAAGTTGATAAAAGTCAGATATACAAAAATATTTTGTTCGGAAAAACTTATGAAGAATGTTTTTAGAAAAAATGCAAAGTCTTTCCAGAAATCTTGACGAACAGCTTGTGGAACGTAAGAATTGCGTAACTTAACCATCTGGTTGACCCGTAGCCTTATATCAGGTCATTCCCTTTTAGTTTCTTTCAACTCTGGTTTCTTCCGCGCATGTGTTGGATTCTCAAAATCGAGCTGACTTGATTCGCATCTTTTCTCATTTTTTTTGCTTCAAATGAGTACATAAAGGTACACCCTAGCCGCAAGTTCGCTGAGTCACTCGAAACCCTACCTTTAACATCGCAAGATCGTATTTCTGGTACTTGCCGCACTAGTTATGGCTTCAGTCTTATTTACCAGCAGTAAACCAGCAAAAACTGATCAATAAGATCTAAGAGGACTGATATACTAATCGGGTATGATCTTGATGATACTTCTATTTGCTGACATCGAAATCGTAATTTTACTACAACTTTCTCACAGAAAACAAGTTAATTACCCTCATTCAATTTGAATTTTTATAATAATTTTATATTCTGTCAGCAAACTGTTACCACGGAACTATACAATTTCCTAGATACATCTGGTTTATTGGTATAAAGTATAGCAAAAGATCTTTCATCAAAGGGAAAAGCGAAGGATTAGCCTGTTTTCCGCCCGCCAATTTTTTGAACTTCATCGGGAAGCTCACGTTGACCTAAATTCGTTTACAATAGATATCTTCGACATTAATTAAACAGATCCATTGCTGCAACTGTAACTTGATCAAACCAGCGGTGACCCGCTTGATTAGTACAGAACTATTGGGCAGTTTGTATGAGCTGTGGACTCGCAAAAACTATCCGATAATGATAAACTAACACACCTCAAGATATTGGTTCTTCGTGAAGCATAAACAGCTCAAGTGCAAATGGCCTAGCAAGGCAGAAGGATGCTCTCAGGATTTTTGAAGGAAAATTTGGCTAACCACAACCAGACGTCCTTAAGTGTCTGAATAAACTAAACAACATAATTAACCTAACGACTATAAATTTAGCGACACGCTTGTTGAGATGCGTAGCTCAATGATATTTTGCATGAAGAAAGCTTTTGCAACCCAAAGCCCGTTAAAATGAATAAACTTTTCATCCAAGTTATCAAATAAAGTTGATGTGTTTTCATCGTTGTCCCATACCACCGACCTCCTAAAAGCAACACTTCAAAGCTTCCATCCAACACGAAAGAGTCCTGTTTGTTCAAGCCAATCGTTTGTGATTTTTGAAGAGGGATGACGCGCCCTCTTCAAAAGTCCCAACGATTGGCTTGAAGATAAACCCAAAGTTCATAAGCGCAAACTTCCATCTCGTGAACCGGATAATAGCTCTTCAAAAAAAAGGTTAATGAAGACTCTTCGTCAAATTCCTAAGCAAAAAATGAAACAAAACTTCAGTATAGTCCCTGTTTGTGATAAAAAATAAGCATCCACTCTGGAAATGTAACAACTTCAAAGAAAATCCAGCAATCACCGCGCCAGTTTTTTCGCGTAGACGTAGAGTAAGCTTTCTTTTATACCTTCGAGGAAATAGATAAAAAGGAATCGCCCTCAGCATAGGATTTGGCCTACGCTTAAATGATAGGGCACACAAAATTCCATGGAGCTGAGTGCATCTTTCGAGCCCGTACTCCGGAAAATGACCAGTGACAATTAAAAACCTCCCAACCATAAAAAGTCTTGCCGTTAAAAACTAAAAAGAGTCGAAAGCACTTAATTCAACAAGTTTAAAGAGTTTCAATGGCCTAATGACTATGATAAATTATCAATTTCATCAAGTACTTAAGAAACTAGTGGAGTTGTGTGAAATGACCTAACCTGGGCAGTTTTTTTGTGTTGATCATCTGATCTTGCACGTAGACTTAATCTGACAGATGACAAAACTGAGCTAACTGTGATTGATTTAACTCACTGAGGTTATCTCCTCGAAGCAGGTTGTTTTAAGAAGGTAATCTTAGTTTAGCCCGGAAATAATTTGAATCTAACAGTGGCTACAAGCAAGTCGAATTACGTCCTCAGACAATATAAGTGAGTATTAAAACCTTGACTCAACCACCATACACGATAGTCTGAACTATTCCGTTGGCGTTGTCAGACCTGACGAGAACTCCAAACAACAAACTTTTTTTCTCCATGTTGGTCTAAATAAAAAGAACCAATGAGGTACAGGATCTTCCCCACCACTCGCTGTTTGATTGCGACAAGTCAGGAAAACCTCAGCGCATTCTTAACGAAGCATCCAAAATAAATAAGTCTTACCTAATTAAAACGTTTCTGGTCAGTCTAATTTTGGGTCGAAATTTTCTAGCCGTGCTAATGAGATTCTTCAGCAGCAATGTGTAATGTAGGAGTAAGGTTCCCTCAGTTTGGTGTAGTTGCAGAAGATCAAATATCCCTACTTTTCCTGTAGCGGAAGGAAGAGGATACCACAACCGATGAGGATACCAAATTACCCAACATACCTAAGCACGCAATTGTGCTTATTTTGCACTCGTAACCTCATGTCTCTTTTCCAAAAGCTGCATCTGCAGTTATGCAAAACATCTTTTTGAACGACATTTTGACTCCTTGAAACACCTTGAAGAAGCTTTGAAATTAGGTAAAAACTTTGTAGAACTTCTCAAGTAGGGATGTTTTGAATCGGCAAGGTTTGTAAGTAATGTAAATGTCATACAGAATGAGTTAAGTACGTGTCAAGAGACAATCTGGGTCTGGTCATTGAAAGCTCTGGCAGTGAAGATAAAGCATCGCATCTACGAAAATTTTAGGATAGGACCAAAAAAGTTAACTCACAATCCGGCGCTGCTACTTTCTGTTCCCAGTTGACAAAACTGGATTGAATGGCTTGGCAACAATTCTCAAGATTTCTTCTGTGCACTCGGATTTCTTCGTGTGCGCGCTCTGTACACTCAAGACACCAAACTTGCAAAGAACTGAGTAAAGCAAGAGTAACGCCAATGAAAGCTATGCGTATCTCCAAAAAATGTATGCTGTTGTAATGGCCACACGTGTTAAGGACGATAATGTTAAAGCAACTACCATCTAAAAAAGCGATATCTTCATTCGGACAGACAGTGTGGCGCAAAGACTCCATTTGTCGAAATAACCAATTTTAACCGCTAACCGAGCAGGGAGAAAACTTGAAGTCACCAGCGTAGACGAGTGGTGTCTTTTCGACGCCGGAAACAACCTCGCGGATTTGGTCACTAGAGGAAACGCCGCCAAATGTGTAAAAGTCAGCAGCTGAACCTAACTTCCAAGCTTCCTAGGAATCCGTCACTGACCATTTCAACCAAATATTGGGGTTTTAACCAAACTAAAACTCAAATGTCACGTTAATTATGTTTTTGATACAGCGTATAAATTCATCACAAACCCGGTATCAACCAAACCCGTCGGTAATTGGCGTCAATAGGCCTTTTTGTGCAGATATTATGCACAGTTGCTTCCACAAAACAAATTATTCACATCAAGGCTTAAATTGCACAATTCTGAGAAAAAAATGATGAATCGAACTTTTGTAACACTCTCCCCCTTCGTTGGTCTTTGTGGTTTTCTCCGGTCCAAAGTTCGCATAAGCCTCTTTCAAACATAACATCCCATAACACTTGATTTTTGAAACACTTTTTTTGTCGATAATCTACACTGCAAAATTGAGCATTAATATTTGGACTTTCTAGGTTCAGTCATCCAGATGGTTTATAGCTTTTGAAAAAAAAAGACTTCTCTCCGCATCATTCCAAATAACTCTGTGCTGTGCCATGAACAGGAGATAACTATTAAACCGTTAAGTTTGAATTGCCGGTTGAGCGCTTATGATACCGCCATTCGCTGTTCAATATTTGCGGCTTTGACTACTTCTGACCCTTTTATAAAACTGCTTTCCGGCGTTCAGAGAAACGTTGGAAATTTCTTCCCACTTGTTTTTTATCACAGAAGCCATTCACATAGAAGTCGTTAAGTGTACGGACGCAAACTCTTGCGTAATGGGAGTAGAAAATTTCATCGTTAGGCATGAAACTCATCAATAATCTGGTCTGAATGAACCTTGTCGGCGAAGAGAAAGAGCTTTTTTGTGCACTGGAGCGGGGAATGACCGTCCACTCGCTCGTTTTGTACATAAAAGTTAAAAGCGGATAAAACTCCCTCACCACGCATCAAACCATGCTGGCTCGTGAGATCGATTTGCAGCCTTTGAGCACAATCATATGCCAACGCCAGCAAGACTCGATTGTTACGATTGGTACATGCCTTCTGTCAACAAACAACTTGAAACATAATTGAGGTTGGTTGAGTAAACATCGTAACTATTTTAAAAACCTGCCGGTAAAACCTAAGTGAAGCTGAATGCACAAAAATCAAACTGTGCACATCACTAAGTAGTGACACTGGTCTAATATCTATCATAAGTCTGTCAAATACATCCAGTAATAAGGAAACCAAACCAATGGAATTGTTTTAAATGACCTGGGCAGTTATTTGTGTTGGTCATCTGATCCTGCAAGTAGACCTAATCTGACAGGTGACAAAACTACGCGAACTATGATTGGGTTTAACTCAGCTGAGACTATCTCCCCAAGATATAATGCCTGATTCCAAATTGCAAACCAAATATCAAATGGAACCTGTTAACACCACCGAACACTAATATGCTGATGTTATTAGGTCACTATTTTATCGGTTTATCTGCCTTTTCAGTACTGCCGGGTTAAAAGTAAGAAATCTTTCGTTGCCATTCGTCTTCTCCTGGGATGGGTCTTCAGTTATCCTCTCCTTCCATCCATTGGTCTGATCTCCAAATGCTTGAAATTCAATATCGATGATGTAAGTGGTTTGGTAGAGCAGGTCAAAACTTGTTAGGAATTGAATCATACGGTGGCTACAAGCAAGTAGATACACGTCCTCAGACGATAAAAGTACGAATTAAAAACCTGAGTCAACCACCACAGACGATGGTCAGAGATATTCCGTTGGCGTTCTCTTGGCTGAAGGGAACTCAAAGTTACCAACCGTTTTTTTGCTCCGTGTTGGTCCAGGTTAAAAGAACCAACGAAGTGAAGGATCTTTCTCACCACCCAGTGTTTGATCCCGTCAAACCATGATCTTTACTTTCGCATCCTCAATTTTTTTTCCAATTTGCCAGGTTTTTTTCTGCGTGGTGTGATTAAATGGTCTAACTGAAAAACTATAACTTAAATACAATTAAAAATCCTGGTTAAATTGGCAAAATGGTCAGCAGGTTTTTTCGAGAAACAGAAAACATAAAAAAAAGTATTTTATTTTATTTTTTTGGCAGTAGTTGATTTGAATTTTTTGAACGCTTTGATTCCCAAAACGGCGGTAAAACTATTTTTATTTGTGTAAAACAAAATTTTCATGGCTTAAATTAGGCTTAAACAAGCTGTTGTATGCCTGCTCGCTCGCTTTAATCGCTCGATGTTGGAGTTAAAATTAAAAATTGCAAACTTGTTTTTATACAAAACTGGGAGTTTGAACATTATTTAATTACTTCAAATCACAATGAAAGGGCTTATAAATGATATATCTCTAGACTCATTATCATAATTATTTGTGGTTTCTGGTTTTTATGGTTTTTGTGGTAACCGGAACAAAAATTATCAAAACTTTCAATGGTCGGAACAATAATGCGAGGGGCGAGGTGGATTTTCAAAAAAAGCTTTGTCGAACTTTTTTTAGGTCTCCCAAATCACTATAAAGACCCCATTTTGACCAAACTTTCTGGGCCGCAGGCAAATTGTCGAAAAAAACAGGCCGAAAGAGGCGTTTATTAATAGGCAATGAAAGACCACTGACACGGACAGCGAGAAGTTTTATCGTTTAAACGAAAGCCTTAGCCGGAATTTTTTTCTCGATCAATAGTTTCATTACTTGTGAAAAAAACTGACGTTAGCTATCATTTTATGCGAAAACTTACTTGATTTCCGTTCAGAAAATTGATCATACATCTCATCGTGGAAACTGAAATCGGGTACATCACTCTCACTGCTCTCAGTTTGTGCGATTTGGAAGTACAAATATATAATGAATAGAGTCACGATGACCAGTAGAACCCAGTTGATCCAGTCCAGAACGACAACTGATATAAGAAACCAAGAGGAACCATTGTCAGGTAAATCGTCCGAATATTGTTCAGAAAAAAGCACCGAAACGTGGTCGTACTTAATGCAACCAACATAAATTTGGAAAATTGTCTCGGCTAGTGAAATTGCAAGCAGAAAAACAAGAATGAGTATTGTCCGCTTGTAGCCATAGAATCCTGGAACGTTTTTATTACAAGCAGACAAGATAGGAATTTGAAACAAGAACTTTTAAGCCTAATGTTATCACAAGCTGATTTTATATATATAAAAAATATCGTCAAGGTTTTTTTCGATACGGGGTTTAATTTTTTGAAAACTTTTTTAGGTTGACCAACATACAATCAATCAGATATACTTATGTAGTTGCTGAAAAAAATGTGCAATAACGTTTTCTCCGCATTTTGTCCTGTAGAAGCTACAAGTTGCAATAAATTATAAACTTAGTTTTGACAGAAGTAGTCTTATTATACTATTCTATTTAAGGGCAGACCATTAGATTGAGATGTAGCACCTCGAAATCGTCTGCTGATTTCAAAGCACAAAAATTGGCTAAAATTTAGAGATCCCTCTATCGCAAAAAATCATGCTTTGAAAGAAATTTTGACTGAAGCAAAAAACTTGTGCTTCCGATAGATTTTTATGTAAACAGTTTTAGATTTCTGAAATCAAGTAAAATCATTTTTTGCCGAAATTGGGACGAATAAATTAGCTAAAAAAACACTTGACAAATAATGTTAAGTGACAAATAATGCCAAACTTGACAAATAATGCGCATCAAATCGGTTCAAACATGAATCTAAATTGAACGAAGTCAAACTAATTATCCCATAACAGAATGCTAGTGTATCAGGGTGAAGCCCTGGATGTTCCGGCTGCCCCTTAATCCATATCGAATAAATTTTTAGCGGAAAAAGTTTAAAATGAATACGTTTTGGACAATATCAACAATCAAGTATCAAAATTTGACTCGTACAAAAATAATACGACCAATTAGCTAGCATCAATTCATTTTGGAACGATTTTGTTTTCCGGGATAGTTCGCCAGGCATAAATAATTCGCCTTACCTTTTCAGGATTATGGATTAAATCTGCTAAAGTGCGCAAAAAGTGGTCCAGGGCATGACTAAACTGGTAATTTTCAAACTCATAAGACTTTGCAAAAAACGATCGGAGGTAAAAAAAAAAATCTTTTTTATTTTGATTTCATAGAGTCGACCTCTTCAATGGGACATTTTGCAATGGGCTTAATTTTGCATGTGGCGAGAAGGTTAAAGTTTAAAGTGTTCAATCTTTGATTGTTTTTTGTCACCAACTATGTTCCAGAGACCTTAATAATAAGTAGAAAATTTAGGGCTCAACCCCGATACAAGAAGCAATCTTGTTTAAAAATTAATTTTAGAGAAGTAAGCAGAGTATTTACCCTTGTAAAGCTATTTAACCAATTTCGGCCATTAAAATGATAGTTTTTTGAAGAAAAGTATTTTTTTCTTGATGATACATTGAGATCAGAGTCATGTTTAACCTGCAGTGGTTTCCTGTCAAATTGTGGTTGCCCAAAAAATGCCTTTAGCATTATTCTTGAATTATTTTATGTGCTCTATTTAGAAGTTATCTATGACAATGAGCTCAAGATAGTTTAGAGTGGCGAATTACACAGTTCTCGCAATTATTCCAAATTGACTTGAGGCAAACTAATCAGTCATTTAATCATTAGTCCTCTCAACGTGTGATGCTTGAAATTTAACATTTTCACTTGAGGAATGAAAAACAATCAGTTCGAAAATTGAACAAAATTGCTCTTATATAAGGGCAAAGCCCTGAATATTCCGACTGTCTCTTATTTCATATCAAATAGTTTCCGAGAAAAGAAAATATTGAAAACTTATAAGTTTCGAACAATATCAATTGTAAATTTTTGAATAATTCAAATTAATACGACCAATTAACTAGCCTCAATTCATTTTGGAACAGTTTTTTTCTGCGCGGGATAATTCGCAGCGCATAAAAAATTTGCGTTACGCTCTCAGCAGTATGAATAATTTCTTCAAAGCGCTCATAATTTAGTCCAGAAATTGACCAATTTAACAAATTTCAAAATCCAAGAACTTTACAAAAAAAACTGGAGGTAAAACGTTTTTTTTTGAACTCTAAATCAGGAAGTCATTATCTTTAATGAGGTTTTGAAAGTTTTTGTTGGAAACTATTTGTTTCGACCGGCGAAAACTGACTGAAGAAAAAAAACCACATCGAGCATAACAATTCCGTCATCTTCAAAATTCTGAACAAAAAAACGAATCAAACTTCTGTTACTGAATATCGCAAAATAATTGAGACAGTTTAAAAGCATTCGAAACCTATATGCTCATTGGAGTCGATCTCTTTAGTGGGGCATGAAAATTTTTTGTTAAAAACTATTGTTTCGATTGCCGAAAACTGACTGAAAAAAAACCCATCGATTTTAGATATTCCGTTTTTTCAGACAAAAATCAATAACGCTGAGTATAATTTGCAAAATTTATCATGTTCTGCTTAATTTTGCATATGGGGAGAAGATTAAAGTTCAAAGTGTTCAATCTATGATTGCTATTTGTCACCGACTATAATCCAGACACCTTAAAAACTAGTCGGACATTTAGGGCTCAATCGCGATACAAGAAGCAATCTTGTTAAGAGTTTATTTTAGAGAAGATGGCTGAGTATTTACCCTTGAGGTGCATTTAACCAATTTCGGCCATTAAAATGATAGTTTTCGAAGAAAAATATATTTTTCTTGAGGAGATCAGAGTCATGTTTAACCTGTAGTGATTTCTTGTCAATTTGTGGTTGCCCAAAAAATGCCTTTAGCATTATTCTTGAATTAATTTATGTGCCCTATTTAGAAGTTATCTATGACAATGAGCTCGAGATAATTTAGAGTGGTGAATTACTCAGCTCTCGCAATTATTCCAAATTGATATGAGGCAAACTAATCAGTCATTTATTCATAACTCCTCTCAACGCGTAATGCCTTTAACTTAATATTTGCACTTGAGGAATAAAAAACAATCAATACGAAAATTGAACAAGACTGCTTTTGTATCAGGGGAATGCCTTGAATGTTCCGACTGTCCCTTATTCCACATCAAATAGTTTTTCAGAAAAGAAAATTTTGAAAACCTATTAATTTTGGACAATGTCAATTGTAAATTTTCGAGTCATTCATATTAATACGACCAATGAACTAGCCTCAATTCATTTTGGAACGTGCTTGTTGTGCGTGATAATTTGCAGCGCATAAACAATTCGCGTTACGCTCTCAGCAGTATAAATAAACTCTTCAAAGCGCTAATAATTTTGTCCAGAAATTGACCAACTTATCAATTTTCAAACCCCAAAAACGTTACAAAAAAACTTGGAGGTAAATTTCTTTTTAATTTGAAATCAGGAAGTCAAAATCTTATTTGGGCTTAAAAAATTTGTTGGAAACAATTTTTTTTTGATCGACGAAAACTGACTGAACAAAAAAACCAAACCGAGCATAAAAAAATCAGTTTTCGTCAAAAGTCTGAACAAAGAAAATGAATCAAATTTCTCTTACTAAAAATCGCAAATTAATCGAGACAGTTTAATAGCACTCGAAACCTATAAGCGCATTGAGCGTGAAGAAAAATTACTAAAACTGATGCATCTATGCACTGATGCACCTAAAGCCGACATTTTTGGGTTTAAACTCATTGAAGAGTGCTCGTATCGCGGCAAAACCCTGAATGTTCCGACTGACTTTTGAGGTCTCAAGAGCAGTAAAAACATGAAAAAACTAATTAAAATAAAAAAAATCAAGTTTTTTTAAATTTGTTCTTCTGGTGAAAATTATTACCCCGCACGCCATATGAAGTACAAAGAGATAGATTCCGTTCCTAGTAACAAATCAGTTGCGGCAAAAAACCTGCTTCAACCAACTTGGAACGATTTCTGAGACGGATTAAGTCTCCGCTCACGCATTAAAAGCGCAAAATTTATCGCGCATGAATTGTTCCAAAATGGCCAAAATGGTGTTCTTTAAACCCCCATAACTTCACAGTTGAAATATCTTTTCAAATTTAAGCTCAGCACAACATTATAATACTTATTTAAAATATTCCTCTTATAAGTACCTTTTTTAAAATAAGCTCAGCACAACAATACCTTTTAAAAATTGACATTAAACAATTTAATAAAAAAAGGCTAATTAAAAAGTCGAAATTTGTCTTTAGAAAAACCCCGAGCACAAATATTTCGTTACTTTTGTTACGAAAGTTGGAACAAAAAACGCTATTGCCTACATTATCAAGGTGCTGCGGAGAACTTTTTTTTTGGTATTCAGATAGAAAGTTGGAACACCAACCCTGCTAACTTGCTTTCCTCGGGTAGCCTCTCGCCTAAACGAAAATTTGCGAAAAAATTGTTCAAATTATTGTTTGATTTTATCTTTGCGAAAATTTTTCATGACAATATTTAAAGAAAACTTCAGTAGGTCAATTGACTGCGTGCAATGATCAATCACATCAACCATCTGCTTGCATTTATAAAAAACTTCTGCAGCGTTTACCGTTTTTGCTTCGGGGGATGGCTCAATTGGTCATTACGGGTTACGGGCGGGGGGGGGGGGGGCGTGCTCAATTGATATTATTTTTTCATCAAATCAAAATCAAGATCTCTCGTTACTAATTATTTCCAACATTAATTTTAGTTAATAATTCTGCGTCTAAAGTACTCGAGCTTGATTGTCCGACAACTTCAGCTTATAGCCTTAATCAAGACCCCCTAACACGCCTAAACAACTTGATCCTGTTAGATTGACCGGTTTTGTAACAAGCTTTAATATATATTTGTTCTGGTAATAATGCAAGCAATTTTTTCTTTCAAATTGCTTGCTCGAATTTAGTGTCACCTCTCTCGTCTTGACGAACGCAAATCATGAAATATCTTCCTACTGCTCCGAACGTGAACAAATAAAGTGCTACTCGTGTCATCATCATGTAGAGAAGCATATAAGATACGCAAGCAACTGTTCCTGAAATCTTCAGCAGGAGTACATTAACAACTGTAGTTATAGCGCAACTCACGAAATCAAGGATACCGTAAGTAAACAACAACTGTTCCGAACACGATTTCAGTTTCCGAGAAAACCCGTAAATCCAAATCATGTGGAAGTTGACAATTAACCCAAACACGCCCAAAATAAGGCCCAAATAAATGGTTGCCAACGATGTGTAACATTGTGTCTCATTTGGAAAATCGACACTAATATTGGAACAACTCGAAGAGTTCAGATATATTATAGGTGGACGACTTGCCAACATCTTCTGGTGATTTCTTTTATTATTAATCAAAAGTCAAACGGATCATTATGATGTTCTGTTATTTAAATATTCCTCCAATATTTGCCTAGCTCCAAGAAAATTTGGATTTGATTTAAAACGCAAATAGCGTGATATATAGCAATGTCATTGGCAATAATTTTTCTGTCAACCTAAGACTGCTCATTTTGACCAGTAAATCCTGAAAATCGGTTTCACATGAAATCCTGTAAAAATTTGTTGTAAATATTCCAATTATAATGAGCAAAAAAAAAACATATAAATATGTATTAAAACCCGTTTCTGAAAATTAAAGTCATTTACATTTTTTCGCCAATTAATTTTTGTTATTTGAGGCAAAATTTGCCTTCGTCTTAAGTAAATTGGCTTGAAATAAATCAAGACTGCTGGTATCAGGGCGAAGCCATGAATAATCCAACTGTCCTTTTAGGTCTATGGAGCAGTAATAGCTAAAAAGTTGAAAATAAAAAAAATTAAAAAAAGTTTAGATTTGAGACGTGTGAAAATCATCCACCCTCACGCCATATAAAGTACAAAATGATAGATTTTACTCCTAGTAACAAATAAATTAGGGGAAAATAAGCTTCCTTCAATCAATTTGGAACGATTTCTAAGTCAGATTAAAGCTCCGCTTAGGCATTAATAGCGCGAAATATATCGCGAGTTAATTGTCCCGAAAAAAGCAATCTTTAAACCCCTGTAACTTTAAGAAAAATGATCACAGATGAAATAACTTATCAAATTTAAGCTCAAGACAACAATGATTTTGAATGATACTTATAAACTCCGTCAAAAATGACTAGTTAAAAAGTCAAAGTTTGTCTGAAGAAAAAAAAAACCCCGAGCACAAACATTCCGTTATTTTCGTCACGAAAGTCGTACCAATAACTCAAAAGCAAATCTGCGAAAATTGATAGGCGTGAAATTATATTTCTTCGAAAGAAACTTAAAACAAAACACAACCTATTTACTCTAATGGAAAAAAGTCTAAGGAGAATTCGGTTTTCACCTTCTGAATTGCTTGTTATTGCTGCGACTTTCGTAACGAAAGTAACGGAATATTTGTGCTCGGGGTGAGTTTTTTTTCTTCAGACAATTTTCGACTTTTTAACTAGCCATTTTTGACGGAATTTTTTTATTTCATTCAAAAGGTATTGTTGTCTTGAGCTTAAATTTGAAAAGATATTTTACCTGTGATCATTTTTCGTAAAGTTATGAGGGTTTAAAAATTGCCATTTTGGCCAATTTGGGACAATTAACGCGCGATATATTTCGCGCTATTAAAGCGTAAGCGGAGATTTATTCAGACTTAAAAATCGTTCCAAACTGATTGAAGGAAGCTTTTTTGCCATAGTTTGTTTGTTCCTAGGAGCGAAATTTACCACTTTGTACTTTATATGGCGTGTGGGGTGATAATTTTCTCACAGAAATCTCAAATTTTAAAAAAATCTTTTTAATTTATTGCATTTATATGTTTATGTTATTACTGCTCCATAGACCTTAAAAGGCAGTCAGAAAATTCAGGGCTTCCCCCTTATAGTTGTTGTTTTTGTTGTTGTTGTTGTTGTTGTTGTTGTTGCTGTTGTTTTTGGTGTTGTTGCTGTTGTTGTTGTTGTTGCTGTTGTTTTGTTGCTGTGGTTGTTGCTGTTGTTGTTGTTGTTGTTGTTGTTGTTTTTGCTGATTAAATAATTTGCAGCTACTGCTGACGGGATTGCTCCTAGTGAGTTCTTTATAATTTCCTCCTCGTTTCATTATACAACAAAAAAATTTCAAACTCCATGAGATGCCGCATTGAAGTTTTAAGAAATAATGGTTTTTTATACCTGGAAATTTGGAGCGGAAACTCATTCGTTGATTAACGTTAAATCAAAAAGCAAATCATGTAATGGATAATGGATCTTGTTAACTATCACCCCTATGGTATCTTGTAACGAATACCCCCCTATAAAGAAAGAATTGAACAGTTAAGCATATACGAATTTTGTACCTTGTTAATTAATCCGCCCCTATTGCAAGACCCCATGTAAGTTCACGGAAAACTGCTATAACTTTTTGTGCTATTGTCTTCATCTCAACAAAAGATTACGTGATTTTTTGAATTGCTACCTGACCAAACAAACTTCGCTGACATTGTACATTGTAAACTCTAAGTTGTTCAATAAAAGATATTATTTAGTTTACATCATATCATATTCGATCCACTCTATTTCAGACTAATCGCGAGATGGTCTCGCAGCTGCAGTAGGAGTTAGATCACGAACTAATTAGTTTGTGATTGGCCAATGCTGATATTGGCCAACTACTAAAATGAACGAAATTATTATTTCAACAACTCTCATTTTTGCTGCTTCAAGAATTAGATAGACCAATTTTTCATATATCAGCAAAAATGGGAGTTGTTGAAATAATAACTTCGTTCATTTTAGTAGTCCATAGACAAGCTAATTAAGTCGTGATCTAACTCCCCCTGCAGCAGACCATCCCGCGATCTTGTCCTTGATTGGCCAACGCTGATCTCTTTCTTGCCATTCTAGTCCACGTAGACCACACTCGACCAACTCCTAAAAAGGAAACAAGAAGATGAAAAACAAAGACAAAAAAAATATTCGTAATCTCAACTTGGAATTTCCTAACTTTTTTGTTTTCAGTCGGACAACAAAACTAATTGCGACGATTTTGCAAGTCAGTGAAACAAAAATTTGCCTGTTCACTTTTCGAAACATAGAAGCAATTTTCTTTCCGATATCTAATAAATGAAATGGCGACGTCATAAATTGCCATGGCGACGTCATAAAATTTCTCGTTTTCAGAAGTGGAACCTGATCTAAACTACATTTTATGATTGGATAAATTAAATGTTTTACCAATGTAAAGTATTTAATATTAACCAATCATGATCCATCTAACTAACAACCCACTTATTTGTAAGTGCTGAAGTTACTTGTAATTTCAGCACCAGAAAGATTTGAATTTAACTTAGAAATTAGTTGGACTCTCCCGAGCACTTCAGCAGCCGCAATAAACCAGTATACCCTAGATCTATTGAGCCTAGCAGAGACTAGTTAAACAACCTGAGACTAGATAGTATAAGAGTAAGATTAGGATCGGTATTAGACTAAGAAGTTGCACGAATCTATCCGGCCGAAAATAAGATAGCGTGACGAGCAGACGGTGTACCCTATCCGAAATTACTCTATGAGTTATACACACCAGTCTTAACTCATCTGGTGCGACCATAAGTCTCGAACAAGACCTTACTAGATTAGAATTAACCAAAAATAGATTAGAAATTAGACAAAAACATTTACAAAATGTTATACGACAATAATTTAATTGAAATGTCTCTCCGACTCAATAGATCAGAGCCAATATTCCGAACCATAACAGAACTACCCGGAATTGGAAGAAGACCTCGAACCAAAGACGACATACGACAAAGTAGAAACTTGCCGTATAGTTATATGATAGTTCGGCAAAAGCCAGAACAAACTTTTATATTTCGAATACTACTTGCAATGAATTTAGATTTCCATTTGCAAACATAAAACCTTGAAGTTACTCTTCAAAATCATTTCAGGCGCTAAACAAAATTAATATTATACAATAACGATTGATAAAAAGATCTTAGATCGTTTTCCTAAAACTCTGCAGTATTATACAAAACATGTTTGAAAAATATTTATTGGAAAATAAAAATAAAAATTAGTAGCATGACAATAATTGGTTAGTAATCATAAATCATCCTGTTGTTCCAGCTTCATCATCTAAAACATAACAGCAATCATAAACCCACTAACATCATCAAAACACTAAATCTTTCTTTTACACACATTTAAAATTTTATTAAAACTTAAATTCACTTAATTTTAAAACCAGATCATCAAGGCTTATCCTTGGATCTTAAATCATTTTCTACTTAATTAAATTTCAAATTTGATCATCAAGGCTTATCCTTGGATCAAACAGAACAACTTTGTTCTCCCCCACCCACTTAATTAGTGTCTAACGACCTCAAACGTCGATTCACTACCCAACCCTTTCTAAAGACCTAAGACTAATAGAAATTTTTAAACAAAACTAATCATTCAAATTAGGATAAACAGTGAAGAACTTCGGTTATTCATCCTTCACTTGACCCCCCCTCTTACCAGACCCAGGATAAATTTTAGACTTAGTAAGTTTAAAATAGTATCTAACGAACTACTCGCGTTCTAATTATACCTGAACCTTGTGGATCGATTTACTATTCTCCAACCCTTGAACACAATCACTACCCCTAAGTAAGATTAAGTAAGTTAACACCTTAACTTATACTAGCCACGAGAAAGTAAAAAATCATTCTTCGGAATCGATATACTTTTCTCTCCAACCCTGAACAAATAGACCCAGGTTAAGCTAACCAAAAAATCGTAAGAACTAACAGTTTAAGAAAATAAAAATCATTTAACAACCTTTGCATCCGTCATCCTAAACCTTATGTCATTTAAAAACCTAGGAAATAAACAAACAATCGTTTTACACAATTGTGAAATAGATAACAAAAAATACGACCTTGTAATCACACCTCATACACAAACAGTTGGATACATTCGAACAAAACGACAAACACTAAAGAGAAAAATAATAACTAAACAAAGACAAATAACACGAAAAAGATTTTCAAAAAATCGAAACGCATTTTCAGAATCAGAAACCAACAGTTTAGACGAACTCTACAAACTAAAAGAATCAATAGATAAAAATTGCCCACTTCACGATCAATTATATTTTTCTGACTCAGAAACAACTTCAAATTCATCAAAAAGAGGAAAAAGAAGAATAAAAAAGCAGTATAAACACAAACCAGTACATTTATACAATTGGAATCAACCAATTCGACACATTAATAATTACATATTAACAGTCATCAAACGAAAAAATGAGCTCAACGCACACTCCAGGTGAAGAAAGTCCAGATGATGATGAAATCTTTCCTTTTATAGTAGACGCAGATACTGATAGAGGACAACACATATTTTGTCAAAATTTACTCGTAAATTTATTTGAACCCGGAATCAGTCCATGTAAAACAGAGTTCCCCGATGTAAAAATCAAAAGACAAATCATAGATCACTATCTAAAAGATATATGCAACATAACACAACAGTATGGAATCTACTCCATAGAATTCACCTCACCAAACCATAATAATAGAAAATATACAATTCAAACAGACGATCTTGATTTAGAATTTTCAAAAGTTTTTTCAGAATATATAAAAAGCATCCAATATCATAACTCACAAAGAGCAAACTCCATATTCACCAATGAAGTTTTCGCAATAATATATAGTTATATTTCGATATTAGAAAACGAAATCCCAATAACAAATGTCTCACCGACAGAAACATCTAAACATTTGAAAGTACGACATGAAATCACACTACTCTCTAGTTATTTAAACATCATTAAAGAAAATTTCACGAAAGACGACGTTTCACAACATACAAAACACGATCTACAAAAAATTTTGGCATGGTTCATAATAGATTATTTCACACACAATATTGATTTAATTGCACAAGCAAGAAAAAATTTTAGACCCCAAAACTCGAACGATGATACCGCTATCACAGAACAATCAGATTATGTTTGGGACCCCGAATGGTCTCATCCCGCATTTATAAGCTTTCCACAATCAATCTCAAGTCAAGCAATAGGTACAATATCTTACATAAGAGATTATGTAAGAGTAATACCATTAACAATTGATGCAACACCATTAAACTATAATACATTTTTACCCGATACACAAAATAATAGTTTAAACTCTACAGTTATACACAATGAAAACCTCAATGGAACTAGGAATCTTACTCAACAAGATATCCAGACACCATCACACTTCATAAATGAAGAAATTGTACACACAACAACTACACAACAAAGTATTTCACCAATACGCCCAAATTTAACAACACCAAGAAATACAAATCCTTCACAAACACAGGTAACCTTACAATCAACCGTTAAACCTTCGGTTGCCCCTAAATATTCACATATGGATTACCAAACATACAGACCCATGACAATACCACCAAAAACACGCAAAACATTCACTAGAAACAACTTTGCAGACCATAATTATAATTATACACATCCATCAAAAACAAATTATCAACCACAAAGAAATTTTAACCAATATACAAGATCTCGAAATTGGGATAACCCAATGGCCCAACCTAATTCAACAAATTTCCAAACAAATCCTCCACGGGATCGCAGTGAAAATTACCCATTTTTTCAACAAAATAAAAATAAAAAACAGACATCTTATCAAATGGATTATTTATCCTCAGATGATGATTTCTTACAACCAGATATATTTGCACAAAATACTCAAGAATATCGTAGACAAGGAATACAGAAAACATGTACAAACCATAGAAATTTTTCTCCACAAACAATAGATGCACAACATCAACAACCAATTCAACAACAAAATCCAATTAATACACAATCTTTTCAACCAATTCAACAACAAAATCCAATGACTGCACACTCGTATCAACCATCACAAATGCAAAATGAAATACCACTCCCATATTATCTCCAACAACATGAAATAACAAGAAACCAACTTTCAAATTTTTCTCAAATGCCAAATGCAGCAGAATCATTACAAATGACAATGAATCCATACCTTATGGGTGGATCATCAATAACATCAAACAAACCCTTAATGGTTTTCACAGGAACAGACCCTGAATACTCTGTAGAAGATTATTTAAATGCAGTAACAGCAAACCTGATTTTAAATATTGGACCTGAACCAATTAATACGCCACTACATCAAAATTGGATACATCGACGCACAGCGTTAATACAAACAACCTTAGATGGCGCAGCCCAAAAATGGTTTTCAGTACTACCTCTAGAAATAAAATCAAACTGGAAAAGATTTACACAAGAATTTTCAAAAATGTTTGACTCCGAAAGAAACAAACAACAACAAAGAGTTTTATGTAATGAAATTCGCAAATTACCAAACGAAACCATCAAGCAAATAGCAGTACGAATCGAAACACTAGTTCGAAAAGCATATTCATTAAATACACATGACTATAAAAACACAAAGATGACAGAAATCTTAATGATGACCTTAACACCACAATTAAGGAAAATAGCAATAAAAAAGAGAGCATCTCATCCTTCTTCAATTCGAGAACCCGATTTAGATTTTCGAAAACTAGTAGACAAATTAGAACAAGCAGAAATCACGATGAAACTAGAAGAAACGGAAAATCTGAAATTACAATACGTTAACAGAATTGAAACGACTCCCACTAATATTAATAATATACAGGAATCAGAGACAGACCTCGTTGAAAAAATCACTGAAATACTCAATATCTACGAAAAGAACCCAAACTTTAAAGGCAAACCATCTTTCAAAAAATGGTGTAATTATTGCCGACGATACGGACATAGTATTTCCGAATGTAGACAAAAACAGCAAGACAATCAAAATAAACCTCAAAAATATAAAGAACCAAATAAATCATTCTATCAATACATGAAA